GTCATCTACGTCCATGAGAATAACTGATAACACCATGACAAATAAGTACGGACTTAGCGGACAGCCCTGCCTTACGCCCGTGCGAGGAGTAGCCTGGAATTTTTCACCGCGCATACCGACTGTGTAAAATGTGGGGTCCGTGTAGATATCCTGAACTATGTCTAAATAATGCTGATGAACTCCAAGCCTTTGAAGTGCTATTAGCATGGAGGAGTGGTCAAGCTTGTCGAAGGCTTGTTTCCAATCTATAAAAAAGCAATGGAAGGGGGTTCCTGCGCGGGCCGCGTAATCCTGAAGTCTTCTATGAGTGAAAAGAGGCTGCGCTGTACTTCTTTCCTTCCTAAATCCGTACTGTGTTTTACGTAGCCGTTTATCATATCTACTTGATAATCTGTCCTGAATCATCGCAGCGTAAACCTTATATGTAGTGTTGAGGAGTGATATGGGGCGATAATTGGATGCATCTGCGTCATCCCCCTTGCCTTTATAAAAGGATACTGCAATGGCCTCTTTCCATTTTTTGGGAACTGTTTTAGTTATAAGGCCCTGGCACTGGTAATAAAGATCAAGCATTTGCTGCTCCCCGTAGTAGTCTAATAACCTAACTACATCAGACCGTACGCCGTCTGGTCCAGCGGCGCGGCCTTTTCTTACTTTGGCCAGCGCCGCTTGAATTCCTCCATCGCAAAAAGCGGTAGAGCGTCCTGATCTTGGGGATAAAGAGGAGTAGTCTGTCGGAGTATCTCGTGTTCTTCCTCCGTAACCGAACTTGGACCCCATTGTGTGTGTGAGATGCTCCGCGAATGCAGCGTGGGTTTGCGACCAGGGGATTTGTTTTCCGTTAACGACAAGGCGGCGCTTGCGTTCCTGAAAACCCTTCTTGAGTCGTCGCGCGTGCCTCCACAGCTGTGGGGTTAACTCGTAGTTAGAACCGATTTGTGATCTCGTCCATTCGCGTTTTTCATTTCTGGCCTGTTTTTTGACATCTTTGTAGACTGCTTTGTGTTGCGGATCCTCCTGTGCTTTGAGGTGTTTGGCGCGGCGGAGTTTTTGAATAGTGTCTTGTGAAATCCACGGTCTTCGTGGGGCATGTTGTATAGGCGTGAAAGTGACGGCCTCTGCGGGTTGTGCTGCTGCTAGAATGCGTTCGTATTTTACGTCGACCGGGCCTTCCGTGGATGTAGGAATGTTTTCTGTGGTTATGTCGCGGAGTAGCATTGGGGGTTCGTGGTCGTATCTCCCGCCTACTGCCTCTGTGGCCTGTTTGCCTTGCTCTGCTAGTCGGTCGGCTACCTCGTTACCCTGATGACCGGAATGTCCCTTTACCCATTCCCACTGAATCCGTGTTTTGTTTTGGACTTGTTGGAGGAGTAGTCTGGCTAGGTTTACCATTCTCTTATTGCGTTTAGGTCTGGCTGTCCCTTAGTCATAGTAGCTGCCCATTTACTATCATAATAAATGGTTGCGGCCCCGTATTGGTTATCTGGGTGGAGGAGAAACAATAGGACTTCCATTATGGCAGAGAGCTCCCCTGTGTTGTTGCTAGCGACTCCCGCTCCCAAATAGAATGGTGACTGCTCATCTACGTTGACTGGTCCATACGACTCCACCAGAATAGCATTGGAGTAGTAGCCTACAAATCCCCAGCCCGCTAAACTGGATCTTGTCGCTCTACCTGAAGAACCCGATCCGTCTGTATAGAAGCTGATGTGTTGCGGAGGAGTAGTCTGATTTTCGGTTTGGCTCTGTGCGGCGTAATGGGCTCTGAATGATGCGTTAAACCTGTCTAACTTTTGTTGATCGGAAGAGTAGTCGTATTTAATGGAGGGTAGAGGTTTTTGGGGCTTACTACCAAACTTGACCTGTATGTGGGAGATAAGTAGGTAATGGTCACTGGGAAAACCTGTGGTATGTATGGCATGGCATTGCTTTACCGTGGGGAGCCAGGTTCTGCGACACACTATCTTATCTAAGGACTGAAATCAGGTAGGATCGTTACAGGGTATTGTGGGCACTGAGTCTATGAGAGAAGAATCTGTGATAAATGCGCGTATGTGCTGGCCTATCTTTAAGGCACTCTGAAGGGGGGCTGGGAAAGCTGCCACAATGTCCCAAAAGTGGAGGAGTGGTAAGGGGTCAGCTGAAAACTGAAGCCAAGATTTCGGGGGAGGAAACTTTTCCCTGTGTGTGATCTGTCTTACCAGATTGGAGGTTTTGTAAGAACCGCAATCACAGCAACTTGTTGATGCTAGAAAGTCTGTATACAACGTCCTCTTTCTCTCCGGTCCTGTTTTGGCAGTTAAATATCCTTTTCCAAATACGCGCGGTCCTATTATGGAATGCTCCCCTTGCATTCTACCCTGTAGCCTGACATTGAAGTCACCTACGATGTAAACTGACTCGGGCATTGGAATACATGATACAATCTCTTGTAGTTGTTGTTAGAATGGCAACTTTACAGAGGAGTAGTCATGTTTGTCATGTGGGGCATATATTACCCCTTCGACACTTACGCCAAGCCATTTCGAATCCCAAGACGCACCACATGAAGGTGTATCTGCAGAAGATGAGGCTTGTTTCAACCCTGGAGGGAGCACAAGCAACCATGACAGGGTCGTCAAAGAAGGTTTGGACCCTACCTTCATGGTCTGCAACTGCGGCTTGAACGATGCGGTTGGAACACGCAGCGAGCCTGCACCAAAGCACGGGCCCACACGCAAATCCGAAGCTGACCACATGGATCAAGTAAAATGTGGACTTGCTCCCTTTGACCACTGCAAACTTGCGCTCAGAGGACCTAAGTGGAAGTGTATAGAAAGCGTCTCTGAAATCGCTGATGAAGAAATCAATGTCAGAGCTCCTATTGTTCTTGAGGAACAGCGCGTGCACGCTTTCGGCCACATCTGAAACCCTATAGGCAAGATCACTCGCTCCCTGAGCATCATGAGACCGTTGATGCCGCTCCTGCGCATGTCCACTACGAGCCTCACCTTCTCAGCTCCATCCTTTTGTTTAATGACACATGCAAGTTTTGTGAGTTTTGCCCCTTCCCCTACGTGCTGAACAACCTCACTCCAAGAAGGAACCTTTGTTGCGCGGCCACACTCCACGAGTCTGTCCAGTTCAGCTTGCCCTTTTGCGCCTGCCTCTTCAAAGGATTTGTAGTTCTCTGCACTGCCATCCCAATCCTCAAGGAAAATGCCTAGGGCCTGGGAGGCCTTGATGGAGGCCGACACAGAGTCCGTCTCCGGGAAGACGCCATTGCTCACGATTTGCTCATTTACGCCGAGGGGAAAACCAAATTCAAGCCAGTCAGGAATGGTGCTGCGATCGGGATCATTCGCCTCGAGGAGAATCTTCTTGAAGAGGTTGACTTGATAGCCTGTCGCTTCTGGCTCTTACTGAAGGCATATGCCAGCTTGCTACTTGCTACGGGCTGCCGCGATCACTTCTGATGAAAATGGACAAGTACCGTTAGTATTTTCAAAGCGTGCAATCAATTCTTCAGACAAGAACTCATCGATCACGTTGCGGATTTCGGTTCCGGTTTGTCTCAACTGCTGTGACCTAGCAACAGCGCGTCTGGGGTCCCTGAGGCCCCCAACTGCAGCGCTGTTCTCTCTCTGTCGCGGCTCCGCCTTTGTCTCCTTGATCTCTGATGCAAGAAGAGGTGATTCTTTGCTTGCGTCCTTCATGTAATGGTCGAGCCGCACAAGGATGTAGTTGAACTTGCCGGTCTTGACCAGAGTACGGGGCGTCATGATCTTGATGCCTTCGTCTGAGACCAGCCACGCGCGAAGTGCTTCCGCCCAACTCCAACACAGACCCGCTGGGTACTCTGCCGCGAGTGATGTCCGCCACACCTGCTGGCCGACATTCGGGTCGAAGACTTTGCCAGTGAGTCCGTGTTCGAGATGGTAATGCGGCGGCACATCTTTGCACGTCCGGTTGACAGTGAGTATCCATCCTGCAGTTGAAATGATAGCCGGGGGTTTCACCGATTCTGCTCCGTAGGCACACTGATTCAGGAGTACACAACGCACATTCACCTTCTTGAGGATCTTCAGTAGCGCCGGGTGACCCCAAGCAAAGGAGTCCCATGGATTCTCCAAAGAAAATGCGCCTCCTGCTCTCTCCGCCAGCTTGTTGCCCTGCTCGGCCAGCGGATGTCCCCATCCCAGCGGATGTTTCTCTGACCTGATGACCTCCACGGCCCCGTGGCTGTCTGTCCTTCTTGCTCGATTGCCAAACGCGCGCGGTCCCCTCTTGACTGCCTCCTTGGCCCTGTCGAAGTCCGCATCGACAAAGATATCCCAGTTGTAGTAGCCATCCAGGGGTTCCATCGCTTCGGCCACGTTCCCGGCAACCTCCTCCACGCTTTCGAGAAACCAGCATGACCTGCAAAGAGTTCTAGAAACACAAATTTTCGAGGAACATGTTGTGACGCGTTGTCCTGCTGGGCAGCAGGTTTCGACTCCAGAGTTGCAGAAGGGACCTGATCGGGGCCCTTTCCCATTCCGGAGGTGGGGGCACGATATTTGAATGAATGGCATTTGCTAGGGCCTCCTTGGACCCCTCGGCAAGTTGACTTCCTCGGCCCTCTGCTGTGACATGCATCTCCTTCCCCTTGCAATGAAGTTCTGCGCAGGGCGAACTACATGCTCGTTCCAGAAGTCTATGTCCCTGGCCGCGTAGATGAACACACCAGTCCAGGGAGTCGCCACATCGAAGTCGATGGCCATGGGAAGTCGTCCCACGGCCGCCGCTTTTGTCAGCAGTCTCCTGTATCTTTCGAACATCTCTCCCCAACATCGGTCCTCGGCCTGCATAACCAGATGCCATGTCTCTGGGAACTCGGCATTCAGCTTTGCGATGCGATCTGAGTATTCTTCGAGGGCCGCGGCCGTCACCACTTGTCTCTGACCAGCGATCTCCGAGGGATACCTGAGCATGAAAAGAGCTGATCTGTACACCTTCCAGCGTGCCGCCCATGCATCGTAGCTGGGAGGACCCGGAACATCGAGACCCTTGAAAGTGCCATCTACCTGAAGGACCCACGATCTGGCCTTCATCTGCTTCTGAAGTCTCCTTCCAAAGGGGGTCAGCACACTGAAGTCCGCACACGGGCACTCTCTTCTGTCCACCACCCTCTGCTTAAGAGCGGCTATCTGGTCCGGAATGGGTTCTGCCTCCGAAGGGGGCTCTGCCCCCGTGATCTCCGTGTGGTTCGCGTACGCCTGATCCAGCTCTTTCTGAGTCATAGTGTTTATCTCTGTCTCGCCCAATTGATCGATCACTGATGAAAATTTGACCTTCTTGGCCGGGCTTGACGCGGTCGCCACTTGCACATTTCCAGAACCAGAGGCAGTCGGAATTGGATCCGCCAAAAGATCTATGTCTGGCATTTGAAAGGCTTGCCTAGCAACTCTCCAAGCTAGCGCCAACTGGATTTGCTGGGCTGGTGCAGGGTTGCGGTCTGACCCCCCAGCAGTGGGAATCCGCAAGCCATTTACAGTAGAAGACCAAATAGACTGAGGCAGTTGCGAAAAGACACGCACTGACACGAGACCTCCCACGCTGTCCTGACATGTTTTCCAGACGCTTGCCAAGTCTGCCAACTGGCTGTCATCTGTGCCCACCAACACAATGAGCAGTGGCACCTGCGGTGCTGGTATTGGAATAGTTCCTTGCAAGTATCACTATCAAACGAGTTTCAGGATGGCAGCAGATATGGAGTCTGAAGCCTCCAGTGCCAAGACACTTCCAAGAATGTACCTAGCCAAAATGGGGCGCCGCCTGGGAATGGCAATGCCCACTCTGGGGTGGTCAAGGAAAAAAAAAAGCAGACGAAATCTCACCTGGTGAACTAGGGGTTGGCACCATTTGAGTGACAGCGCTCAATTGGCATTTGGTATGTCCGAGGCTCACGAATAAAATGGTTTTCTGGTTGTGCCTGGTGCATCGCATCAGCAACTTCAAATGGTGAATTTTCAGGATGTTATCTGGCTTACCCAGCGCACATGCGAAGACCTGGAAAATGCAAGGCCATCTCTCACTCTCGCGCTCTCCCGCACTTTCACACACTCTCCCGCACTCTCATGGCTAGATGCAATCCTGTTCTAAGAAGCTGAAAAATCAAAATGAAAGCACCAATCCCATGCTTCACCCTGATCAGAACTTAGGCGAAAAGACTTCATAATGAGCTACGGGGGTAATCTCGCGACAGCCCAGAAGAGATTGACTAGTTGGAGTGGCAAATGACTGAGTTGGAAAACCGGTTCCGGTGAGATACAAATTCAATCAAGTGCTAAGGCCTGCTACATAGCAACTCAGCTTCAGCTTGCACAGATTCAGCTGATCATGCCAGGTTGTAAATGCCAGCAGCTGACAGACTGTGTCTAAGGCTGGCTTTTCAGGCTAGGCAGGAAACTTTTCCTCAGCAACCTGGCATTACATGAAATCGATGGGCACGAATACGGATCGCTGGAAGCTCTCGCGAAAAAGTTGGAAAGCAGGCCTAGTCGCCGAAGCCCTTCTTGCCGCCTTTTCCCTTCCCCTTCTTCTGGCGGCAGGAAGGCAGGAAGTGCGGCTTTTCCCAACAGAGGAACAGCTTTGCCCGCGCAGCCTGGCCTGAAACTTAGCCAAAGCACCACCAGACCGCTTCTCCTCCTGCAGGAAGCTCACAACATTTGAGATCTTCAGCAACATCTACAGGGTGTCGGCTACATTGCAGATTCTGCTTCAATTGCTGTCAATGCGCATCAGCTTCGGACCAGGTCTCTACTGTGAATGTGCTTCATTCTGCTTGATTCGCATGTACAAACCCCAGAGCTCATAGCTAGTGTAGCAGAGCTGTTTGCCGTTTTGGGCTTCGAGTCACACATCGAGTCTTCCATGCACTTCGAGAAGGTTCTGCAGTGCCTTCGGGGCCGGCTCCGCAAGCGGCGGCTCGTGCACGGGCTCCTCCTTCAAACAAAAACGCATCCGCATGTTGAACAACAAAACAAAAACAACTTGCGGGGCAACACAGAGGCCATCGAAAGCCAGCCAGGTCTTCATTCAGAACGTGCAGGAGGAGCAGGGAGGCCAGTTGCAACCACGAAGCATCATGGTATTCGTGCCATGACCGGGCAAGAGTAGTGAGCACTGCAGAAGGAGGGAGGTGGGATGCAATCGCTAAGAATTACTAAAGCAATCACCAATCATGTTGTTTCTCGCCGCATCACCTATGAGAAGGTAGTGAGCGCGAATGACTTAAAGAATCCATGAACGTATCACCTCCCATAGTAAGTGTTCATATAGAAATTCGCAATCACCCTCACTGAGGCTGATTTTCAACCTTCCCCCCGGCTTTATGTTTCGAAGCCGTTGCTTTCAACCCCCCTTCCAGCCCATCTTTTGCTTCAAAGTCTGAAGGCTGTAAAATCGTTTTCAAAACATATGGATGAAGGAGCATCACATGCTTCACGAGGACAGTTGCGGGAAGTCAAGACAAGCCCAAGCTCTACAAGCAGTTTGTCCAAGCATCAGGGGCTTGTTTTCAGTAGTTGCATTAGCTTTCTCATCACTCATCACACAAGGATGAAAAGACTCCCAAAAATTCGACAAACACATCGGGAAGGAGATGCGAAAGGCCCAACAGTGAATTGTGGATGACGAACCCAGGCAGTCCGAGTCCCGCCTTTTCAAAGACAGAACATAGATAGGACCCTTTACAAGCTGGTAGAAGAGCAGGCATTGCAGCCTCAAGCAGCAAGAAAGGCTATCAAGAATTTTGTTGCATGCTCTCTATCGCGCTATACTAAGATTACGGTCCTTATTGCCATTTGCAGTTGGTCTTGTGTTCATTGTCTTGGACTAGGTGCTATACGTGGAAGAAGTCTGGCTACATGTGCCAGGTGATTCACGGGATGCTGCCTGACGCAAAGCCCCGGACATTTTCTCTTGGCAGCTGCATACTGTGGGGTGTGCATGGCTCCTCCATTGAACTACAGCTTCGTTGTTGCTTTGCTGAAGACCCAATGCTTCTGGTCTACGCAAAACTGGACATGACGATCTCGGGGCTGCCGCTGCAGTGACAGCGTAGCTAGCTGGCAGCTGCGCTCTGTTCTGTTTCATAGTTAGTCTTTTGTACGAGGTCTTCTGCAATCGTATGTTGTTTGTTCATATGCAATCCAGAATCCAGAGCGGGAAAGGACAAACCAAGAAAGAATCGATAGGTGGATGGACTTTCCATTTCTCATTGCTGTTCTTTCCGGTATCTAAGATCACTCACTTCCAGACTTCTTGTCCGTTTCCGGCCTTCATGAAATCACACTAACTTGATTGGCTCGTTTTACTCGATCTGTTTCAGAAACAAGTGGGTCACCAAAACCAAGTTCGCGTCCCTTCAGCGCTTGTCAATGTGGCAGCCTTGCACACGAAGCGTTAGACCCTCTAGCCATGAAGAATGGAAGGAACTACTGAACTCGGTCAAGGTTTTTAACAGTTGGCGTCCCTGAGGACCAGGGCCCGATACACAGTTCCAATTGCTGAAATTCGCAGGGCCAAATTCAAGTCAGCGAAGTAGTGACAGCCTGTGCCGGCAGTTTTGAGAGGCAACGAGAATGCAAGGGCCTAAGCCACTCTCTAACTCTCGCAGACCGGCAAGTTCCTTCCCGAAGCAATGATGGGCAGATGCGGCATCAATCATATGAGCAGCTTGCAACGGATCAGTTTGCCACGAGATGGCAACTAAACGACTGACCCACTCTCCGTGTGACAGTTGTGCCCCTGTTATAAACGCCACGGGCGCAAGATGTCGGGCGCTCTTGACATTCTTGACCTCTGTACCCGATCACGTTGTGGTCCAAGGTCCCCATTTTTGTAGGGCAAGGCAGCGCGGGCAACAGAAACGGGGCGACATCAGCGCGTTGAACCACCTGTACGTGTCACGCCATTTCAAGTTGTCTGCCGGAGGTCCGGCAGGCTTGCCCGCAAACTTGAGAGCCCGCTTCCAAAGACCTGGCAATTGCAGGGAGCACACATGATAATCTCATAGTTCCATGTCTCAGGTACCTCTGGTGCAATGGGAGCTTCATCAATGTCTTCAACATTGAGTTCGATCTCCTGGCAGTCATGAATGAGGACTGTTAGAAGATTTTTCAAAATCCTCATCCTCGCATCACTCGCATCAGGCTCCTCCGTGTTGCTGGCCATCGGTGCTGCAGGTCCAGATGGTGCAGCCGCCGGCTCAGGAGCATCATCCTCATCATCGTCCTGCTGGGACAGCTGCATGCTCGTGTAGCATAGGTTAGCTCTGCTTTGAATATCTGGGCACAAGCGGGTGTCCAGGTCAAGCTCAATCTCTTCCGGATTGGTCTCCGCAGCTTTGCGCTCAGCGGCCAGGGCCTGTCGGCTGGCACGATGAAATCGGAACGTCCTCTTCGGTACGCAAAAACCTTCCGCTCGGCTGCAGCTGCCGCAGCTGATCTGGCTTCGATTTCTCGCAGCGAGGAGTCCTGTACTCAAAACACCAAAACTTTCCGAACAGCCAGCAGTGAACCCAATCTCGCGTGCACCTCGTAGTATCCCAAGCCTTTGATGCCAAGCTTGAAAATGAAGCCGTCCCGCGCCCCCTGCATTTCATCATGAGAAGATAACACATTTGGCCTACACTCATAGAGCACACAGCTCCTCTGCCGGAGCACCATGAACAATGAAACTCTGCCTCGAAACCCTCCGCGGGCTCGAACTTGCCTAGCAACTCCTGGGAAAATATGGTCAAGAGATCGGAAGGGGAAGCTCAATGACAAGGACAAGTGCAGACCTTGCGAGCAGTCTCGGCATCAGCCGTGACTCGCTGTCGCTTTGAATCTGTGCCCAACGCACCGCCCTGCACATCTGCCATGGAGAGCTCTGACAACTATGCCGGCAAATCATGCAGCTGCCGATTCGGTCCTTGCGCTTCCTGTCTTCCTCAGACTTCATTTGTTCCTCGGCTGCCTGGGTGCATCTTTGATTCTCCGAGCTCTCCCCGGATAAGAGCAGATTGCCAAGCACCCTGCTGCCATAGGATCGAGGACTTCACGGCCTGGCCCCAGGCAGTGGTGATACATTTTTCTATTAGCTTGCAACCGCAAGGCCGGAGTCCTGTCTCAGCAGCAATGTCAGTGGCATTGAAGTGAACCTCCGCGTAATGCACATGAGGTGAGTGTTCGCCTTTGACTGAGAAAGCTCAACCAGCTAATCTCACCTTTTTAGACGTTCAATGACATTCCCTTGACAAACTGTTGCTGTCCACTGTAAGCAGTTGACAATGCATACGCATGTACCGCCAAGCCTGAGAGAACATGGCCTGGACGCTGCGCTTGATTCGAAGCATGTCACGGAACCTCATTACCCCGCAGTGGACGCGCTCAAGCAAAATACCTACAATGTAAGGCACCCACGTATCTTCATTGCCGTGCTGCACTTCAAAACCACGCCAAACTTTCCAGAACCTTCGCAGGCATACATAACTTTCTAGCCGCTCAAGTATTGTCTTACAGCTGAGAGGTGTAGATAGAGAATCAACTTCTCGGCCCTCTGCTCTTCTTCGCGTCTGGGATCGCAGAATCTTAGCATCCAACTGAAGCAGGATTAAAAGCACGTTGGTGGACAAGATTCCCGACTTGTAACCTTCCATTGTCTAGGACACGGACTGGGATGCGTGTTCCTCTGCGCAGGCGAATTCGATGGACATCGTGCAGAAAGCGACTGAGCCCTATCTCACACCGTTTGTGCATGATAGGAAGCTTTGAGCAACTTAGGCATTGACGTAGATGCCACGTGCCCTATCCACCTGGCTCAACAACAAGGTCTGGGCTAGGACCCTTCGTACCGCACCATTGCGTGAGACCTCACCCAGCATTGTCTCCATTTTGGCGTACCGCATGCAGGCATCTTTGATGCGATCCTGGAATCGGCGAGCAGAAAAATCACAAGTAAGCTGCGGATGCATTTTTTCACAAAGTAGGGCAGAGCTTTCAAGGAACGATCTGGAATCTTTCCTTGCGAGATCCAGGGACCAGCATTTGCGGCAATAGGCAACGGCAAAAGGGCAAGGCAGCAGAAGGCTTCCAAACACTGCTCAGCACAAGAGTGCAGGACAGGTCTGATGGATTTTGTGGCTGTAAGAAATGAAGATAAGCAGGCTTTGTGCAAAGTCCAGATCTATGTCCCGTCCTGCGGCAGGGCTTCAATCGCTTGATCATAGATCTCACGGGTACGGGTCTGACCTCACTCTTCCGAGGGTGTCGTCATCACTGGGCAAAATGATGCAAAATGCAAAGAGAGCCCTTGATGCCAGCTAGGGACCGAAGAGCTCAGCTGTCTTGCGCAGCAAGATACCGTACATTTCAAACATGTCCTGACCATGCAAAACTCTTTTCATGTCTGACAACCTTGGCAGCCACGGCTCTGCTGTACGGTGGCGCCTTCTCTTCCACAGCCTTTGTTGCGCGGTTGTAGATGGAAAGAGCATGCCTGCAGATGGTGCAGTTGACCTAACAATAACCGAATCTGATGGAGGCCTTGCAAGACCGTGTTCTTCTTCAAGCTTGGCATATAGCATGTGCAGCCTGCTCATCCGCAAGGTAATTTTCTGAGCAACTCCAACATGCATGGCCTCCTGGCAAATTTGGACGGCACCTGTACTTACACATCAAGCGGCAGTGATCAGCATATACCTGCGCATTCAAGACCTTCTCAACAGCTTGTTCGAAGAGGTCTCTGGCCCGCTCGAGCCTTGAACGCAGTTGAATTCACATTGCCCGGTGCAGGGTTTGACTGAGCAGCTGGCTTTCGCCCGCCGTACCGCTCCACAAACTTTGATAGGTATGTGAGCCTGGCAGCTGTCAAGCAGCGTCTAGATCTCCCGAAGCATGGCGCGGGAACTGCAGCGGCATAACAGCAATGCAGAAATGGCGTCCTAGATTTCCAGCATGCGCCACCAACTGCATGCAACAAGCACCGTGCCGGAAACACCAAATGTCGCCTACGTGCGGCCATGAAAATACCTCGACAAGACGTTTCCCATCCCGTGGAAACTTCTGCAATCTGGGCCTCCCTTTGCCTTGATACCACGCTCATAGACTTTGAAAGCGTCCTCGAAGTACTTTCTATCCTGCACTGCAGCTTGGCGCCAGGTTTTCTTTTCATGTGACACTTCCAACTGGTTCCTCCAAAAATCGAGCGTAGCTCAAGATCAGCGCAGGCGATGCCACCTGCATCAAACGAAACAGCATTGAAGCCACTGCTATCAAATTGTGCAAAACAGCGTGAGGTGCTCACATAAATTGGTCCACAACTCTAGTACAGAATCCTTTCAAGCTTTCTCTCCTTACGCCGAACCTTGAGCTCCAGCGTAGCATCATATGCTGCCTGGAAGGCAATACAGATTGGCCGTTGCTGCACACGAACTTCTCTGGGCTAGGACTCTAGTCGACGCCGTGGTCCCCAACGACCTTGCAGGACCATCAGAATTCAGCTGTGAAACGACTTCGAGGTATCCCATGAAAACAACAAGAGTGTCAACGAGGCAGACACTCTTCCAGGTCAATGCAAAGTGACCAAAGCTTAGTCGAGCGGTACAAGCGATTTTGAACATCGTCCTGTACAACTCCGCACTCCAGACATTAACAAAAGCTCAAAACGAAAAGAACGAGCCTTGTCTTCCTTGAAGGCAGCAGCTTTTTTCTGGCCTGCTGCTTGCCGTGCCACCTGCTTGGAGCTGCATGTCTTATTTGAACGAGATGTCTAAGACTTAGTACGAAGGCCTTCAGAGCTTCATCGTACTCCTTGTGGCGCAGCTCCATCTCTATCCATTCGCACCAGACCTGCACAGATTCGTCATCCTTTTTGACAAGACATGCGCTGATTCGCCGATATGTTAACTGAGTGATGTGCCGAGGCCAAGTCATCAACTCCTCGATACTTCACTTGCGTGGCCTCCGTATTGCAACAAAAACCCGGAAGCATCCAGTGATACTGCCGCACATCTGAGGGAGAAACTTTGGAAAAGATGACGCGTGCATTCTCCAGATCATCATGCGACTCATAGAACTGCAAACATGCGAACGGATATGTCACTGGGCGCATAAACACAGCTTGAAGAACATGCCATAAATGCCTTTGCAAAAGCCGCCCACAAGGTCCATAAGCGACCTTCTGCTTTCTGAGGCTCCACGGTCATCACCTGATCACTCACAGCGTCTTCAGCCTTCCCCGCCTTGATGGACATGCTCAGGCGCAAACAGCTTCAGTGAAGCAACGAATGACCTTCTCTGGGGAGTCCTAACAGAGTTGCTGTGCCAAAAGCACTCGCTATGGAAGTTAGCCTGAAGCGAGATGTCCATTCAGAAGTCCTTGTAAAGTTTTGCACGCTGCAACCATTCGTGGACGTTGTGAGGGTTCTGCCGGAGCTTGACTGACCTGAGGTTTATCAGACACGCCAACAAGCCCACCTGTGTTCTGGCAAAACTGCATACATTCTGGGATGCTATGCAGTCAGGACTCACCATGTGCCAACCGATTCAATCCAAGGGTTCTGAGGTTGCAGCGAGACAAGTTCCGGTCTCCTTCCTAACAAATCCTGACAAACAATGAAGCTTCTTCGCTGAGACGAATTTGGATGTGAAAGGAGCTGCCACACCTCCAAACGGAGCATCAGCAGGTCGGCTTCTGCTGCGGAGACTGTTGAAGCCTCCATGGTATCTGTCATTTGTTCAGCCACTCTTCAAGCGCAGAACCGGTGTTGATGCCTCACGCTCCATGTGTGCAGAGATCAGGCTCTCCAAAAACTTGGCGTACCTAGGTTTCATACAGCACCACGCCCTTTGCGCCCGCAAAACCGCTGTTACATGCCAACCTCTCAAGGAAAGGACTTGGATGGAGTCGACTGACAGAATTCAGTGATTATCGTAGCCTGCATCTGCTGTGGATTTTTGGCGTTCCTCTTTTTGATACAGCGTGTGCTGACATTTCCACAATGCTCAAAGGCTGCATTGCATCAACCTCAAGTTTTGAGGTTTGCAAGCCTCAGTATCGTAAGCACCTTGGGGGGGTTGACTGCAGCATCGCCCACATCCCGCAAGAGCACCACGCTCCAGGCCACTCAATCTGAGCGTGGTATCAGGTGCATTCGCAGCTTCTATGCGTCCACCCCCAGAGCCGGGCAGCTGGCGTTTAATTCTTCCAGCCAAATTGCGAAACAAGCCCAAAGATTGCACGTCGAACGAAGCACACAAATAGAAATCACAAGGTTAATGCGGTCAGCACTGGTACAGCAATGGACCCAAGCAGCAACCCGCCAGCGAAGTGACGATGATAACAAGGCCACCCATCGTACGAACTGGTGGTGAAAGGCTGCAGTCACCAGGATCCTCAGTGTCCCGGTTAACCAGGGTCAAGCCTTGCGACTGAGCACTAAAGCTAAAGCTTTGCCGACGGTTATTCTCTGGAAGGACTCTGGCGGCAGGCTTTTTGACTTATGAGGTGCCAGCTCTTGACGATGACCTCTTCCGGCTGGCATTGCTGCAGACTGCTTTCCAACTTTGACATGGCCTTTGGTTGCCTTTGTTCGCCGCATAGTGCCTTTCTAAGCCACACACACACGTGCCGTGAGCAAGCCTAGTTTCAGCTTATTTTCTTTCAGTTGCTGCCCTCATGCATTGAGACACTCCAGTCACTGAAGCATGCATCGCCTCCAAACCTGGGTGAGGAACCTGGAAATTCAGCGTCTTGACGGAAATTCTGGCAGAAAGTGGAAACATCGTCTCATCAACTCCCTTTGCGCCCATCTGGAGAACAAACCAGCATCCTGAAACTTGCAGGCAGGCAATACTTCGATTGAGCCGACATCTGACACTGATAAGGTCAACTCTTGCCAACAGTACTAGAAACATCTGCACTGGAGATTGTACATTTAGATGCGCTGACCCCCTATTTCAAAAAGAATCTGAAAGGGCACGCTTCGAAAATCAGCGAGAAGTCATGAACCTGTCAACAATTGCTTCGGTCAGGCTGGATGATGCCAAAACGCTGCACTGCTATGGCTACATGTCCGTAGCAAAACCTGTCACATGCACTGCACACACCTGGCAGCAAAACTTTTGAAGAGGCAACCCAAAGCAAGCAACAGGTGAAACATAGGTGCGCCTCAGCTACCACAGTGCATATCTGCTTCGCTCTTCCACGTGCATGTCACGGCTTTGATATGTGTTGTCGGCAGTGAGACCAATTCTCCCCAGCATCGAACCTGCCAAGTCAGCAAAGGGTGCTTCATCTGCCTCCTGTGTGTCCACAGTCTTGTAGCCCATGGCAGCTTTGTACCATGGCACTGAAGATTGCGCATCTGCGAAGCGGACATTTTTGGAGGAGCCACCAGCAGACATAAGACCCAGGCTAGACTGTGAAGACTGTGACGGTGAGCCAGTCTTCCGCAAAATGCGCTTCGGATCCCCGGATAAGATTGAGTTCACCTGCTCTACAGTGAGCGGAAACTGAACCGGATGGGCAGCTTCTTCCTGCAGCTCCTTCTCCCAACTCTGTGTGCTGCCATGCGAATAATTCAGCAACACAGTCAGATTTGATAAGAAGTGCATGACCCAGCCATTGACAGGAAAGTCGGCCTCATGCACGCCATCAAAAGGATAGTTCAAGCTACAAAGTAGCTCAAACAAACCCAAAATGATCAGCAGGGATGCTGCATATGCAGGAGGCGCAACCCAAGAGTCACAAATGCCCATGCAAAGACCTAAATAGGCTGTTGTCAGAGTCACCAGTGTACTGAGCAGATGAAAGTACTCAAAAGGGAGCATGGAATTTGCAGCATCCAATAACCGGAGCTGGTACGACTTGCAGTCCATAAGACGCTGTAGAACCTCCCTTTGGGTTACCGGGGCAATGTCTGCTTTCTGCATACCGTGCAAGGCACAGTCACAAGCAGTATGCATCATGACAAGCGTGCGCTGCCGAGCTGTGAGACTCTGCGGGTCAAGGAAATCGGCCTCACCAGGCCTGATGAACTCAAGATCCACGAGCTTCAGAAGATCCATCTGTTGAACTGTATCGTCTTGGTGACTCCTCCTGATCTCGCACAACACGAGGATCAAGGAGCCCACAGCCCATCGACAGCCCAGCCGGTCGTATGGCTCGTTCTCCTTTCGCAAGAACAACCGTGCCTCGAAGGCAAAATCATACACGCTGTCCATCATCTTTCTGACCAAGTGACCCAATTGCAAGTATCGGAAGTATGCCTGATTGATTGCAAAACACAATGCACATGCCAGCAGAATAAACATCAGCTCAACATCAGACCATTCCAGCTCCAGCGTGCTCAACCTCCATCCGCCGTCCTTCTGTCCCATGTAGCCTGTGTTGTAGACAGCAAATGCACATAGGTGCAATGACAAGAGGAGCCAGAAATCCTTCCGAACCAACACCTTCGGGCCCACAGAATTACCAAGCCGCAGCATTGTTAGGAAGTAAGATGCTTCAGGGTTGTAGAAGCGAGTTGCAGCTAGCGGCGGAATTGGAGGTCCATCCTCTGCAGAATCATGAGGCAGGCCAGAACCGTATATGCTCCGCACAAGTTGGTCCATTGCTGAAGAACTGCTACGTTTTGACGCTTAAGGCATAAAACAGTTGGGCAAGTTGGGGGGTTGGATTGATGTTTTGGACACTTCCTGCTTCAATGAACCCATCGGCAGCAGGTGCACAAAGAAATTAAGATCACTTCAAGAATGACCTTACAGCTGGTGGTCATGTCAAGACAGAAAATAGAATGTCTGCTTACAACGAGGTCGCATGCCGGACAGGCAGGTTTGTCCACGGTTGGGGACCCTTGAAAAAAAAATCGTGCCCGGGCAGACCGTGCTTACGGTGGCCATGGCTTCCTCGTAGATGTCACGGGCCTTCTCAAACTGCCCGAGCCTGGCAAAGCGAAGGCCCCTGCTTTGAGCAGGCAAGTCCAGGCCCCTGGTGCCGGTCCTGATAAAGTGATCACCGAGAGAAATCCACAAGCGGCCCACCTGATGGTAGTTTGAGCGATCAGTTTGTGTTCTTTTTTCATCTGCATGGGCAACGGCTGGCCTCATCGGTGAATTGACGAATGCCGCTGCGAATGATTGACCTCATTCTTTTAAAAGCCACGAACATCTTCTCCATGAAAAACAACTTCCTCACCTCCAACTTGCCTCATCTTAGGCATGGGCTCTATGTTCAAGGACTTGATGTCTGCAGGGTGTTTGGAGACCTTGAAGCACACAAGCTGCACTCGCCTTTTTGGATGCTGTGACTGGAGTGTGAAGGGGCAGCGCCAAATCGCAGAGATCCATCCAGAGCTGGTGCCGAGTCTTCCCCTCCATCGAGCTGAAGTCCTCCAGCGGCTACCGCGAGACGACTGTTTTGGAAAGTGCTTCAATTAGGTCATGTCTTCCTCATCATCCACTACACCGGCTAGCTTCTGCGCAGCCTCATCATAACGCCTGCACAAGAAATCGACACAGCTGAAGGGGCTGGCTTGGAGGACCTGCGAAAGGCTGAGGAGCAGGCCCAATTGTGCGCAGATAGGCAATGTAGATCTGCACACTTGCATTCTGATGTTACTTTTCCTTGCGACTGCGACTTCTGGCTATCCACGCCTCCACATGATCGGGTTCAAGCATGAGGTACCTCCTGAAGGCACATAGTGCCGTCTCCTGTTGATGCTTTCTTCAGACTACTCAGGACTTGGAGAGCAAGGTGTTTCTTAAGCAGGAATGATAGCCGTGCTTCCTCTCACTGACATGAAGATGGCAAGAAACGTGTGATGCCTTTGGAACCTCTCCATCCTTGATGAACTTTACGTATAACTCCTGCCATCAATCACGCAGCAAGCATCCGGCAGGAGACCCAGGCTGCTGAGTGCGATGGCGCACCCATATCCGCGAATGCTGCGTGATGGGCAACGATCGCAAGGCCTGAGCAAGTTGCAAACTCCAGGCTGCCTGCGGAGTATTACACGATGAGGACCCGACACTGTCAAGCGCTCGTCTTGCACGTGTGATCTTCTTTTGTGCCATCAGAAACTCAATGTACTCGAGCCTTGAAGGCAGCAAACTTGTAAATGATCTTCTGCTGGGGACGGTTCACAAGGTGCAGAGGGCATTGTCTTGACACCCAGTTAGGAACTATACTGTCTATGCATACACCTGCTCGATAGACTGTTCTTTGTGGGTAGATTTCAGGTGAAAGGAGTGGACGTCATAACCTCATCAGCAAACATGCAGCTCTCCAAGTGACTGGTACAGCAGGTGATCATGTATGTGTCCGCTGAGTGCAAAACCAAATGCGAGGCATCTTGTGTAAGAATACCAAAGCACGCTCGAAAGCATTGTTTGCAGCCTGCGCCGTGAGAGTTGATGGATCCAAGGCACCATTAACAGAACTGTACCCACCTCGTACTCAGGATCCAGGATTGACAACGTCTTCACCTTAGCCATCAGGGAGGAAAATGCCATGAGCAGGGCTTGACAGTTTGTCATGGGATGTTATGGGGGGCCCACGCTGCTGATGCGCAACCTCAGGTGACAAGCCGTGACAATCGAACACCTCCTATCTGTGCAAGGCCCCGGCTGGAGGTAAGCGTGCCAAAGCTTGTACGAGCCTGGCAGTTCCTGCCAAGAGCGCTTGCAGTGACCAGGCATGAAGAGTGCCAGCACATGCCGGCAAACACAAAGAAAGCTTCAGTGTCTTTGGGATACAGAAAGCAATGGTTCGCATTTCGTGAATGGCCCACATCCTCTTGTGGTATCTTTTGCTGGAGGTCTACCAGCTTTGGTGCCTAGCTGATGAGAAATTACAGAACTCCTCTACATTTGCCGCCTGCTTGTCAGAGTCGAACTACGTTGCCAAATCGATGATTCCGACATTGTTTGTTGACGATTATGCAATGCTGATGTGACCTAGCGCAAAATTGCAGAGTTGCTGGCACTCATAAGCAGGAGGTTAGAGAGGTTCAATCCAAGCCATACTAGCCGAGCACCCTTCCTCGTCATGGAATGCAGCTTGTCGTCAAGGGCTCGCAATATGAGGCTTCAAGACTGTCATGAAAGTACTTGAATACACCAGGCCACAACACAGACAGTTCACCTGCCCACAAAGGGCCTTGACAGCTCGCTCGTAGATCAGGTAGCGAACTGGCAGAGAAGCTTCTGCCTCGACTGGTCTTGGCACAGCCATACACCATCATGAATCACTTCTGATTCTGGAATGTCGACCTTGGCCTTCACATAGGCACACCAAAGCCTGACCTGCCATGGACTTGCTTGGCTGCAAATGCCATAGTTTGCACTGTTGCACCCCTGTCTCTCGCCGGGTGGACACTGAAGGGATTGATCTGGAGCTCTTGTTCGTAAGCCACATCAGTTTCCCGCCTCAGACCATCAAGTGCCTCTTAAGCAGAGAAGGCCATCAACATTATCTGGGCACCCGGCAGAACATCATCTGAAATAGCCTTGGAAGCGGATGACCGGATAAGCTGCAATCCGTCTAAGATCCAAAACAAACAAAGAAAGCAAACGACCTCCCAGGAGCTATCCATGACAGGCGTCGCCTGGAAACAGCACACCAGCAGATCATCAGAGCTTGAGGCATCAAAATTCCACTGCCTTCTGAAGCAAGGCAACGGGTCCGCTGTAAAATACATGTACAACCAATACAATAATGCACTGTCTGAAGGGGACTGCGGTGTGGTGTCCAAACGCTGGGTGCAATAAACCTGCAGGATGTGCTGCTCAGTCATGATCTGCACAGCTTTGATCCATATCTTCAGCAGCGCATGTTCTGATCTTGCACCAGGCTTGAAGAAAACCATGCAAGTTGTTTCTGATGTTGCCCACCCTTTGTCCAGGAGACCAGGCTGTGAAACAAGTGTCAGTGCTTCAAGTACATGCCGAGGACTTCGTCATCCTTCTCAGGCTGAGTCGAGCCGAGAAATCGGTGCAGTTTTGAAGAAGTGCTGGGGTACGTTTTGCAAGGACATCGGCCTCCTCTAGAACTTGACGGCAAATAACTTCGACAGAATCATCAACCTGAAGCTATCGAGCGCAACAGCATGGAAAAGAAAGCAAAAGATGCTGATCTGTAGCAGCGACACCTCCAAGTCAAATGAGTCCACCATCACACGCAACCTTAGCAAAGAAAATACAGTCGTCAGTTCTACTGCAGTGGCTGAATGAAGGGACACTAACACCACATCCACCTCCGAAAGCCCATCCTACTTAGTCTGAGCCTGCAGCTTTCGCAAAGTCTCGTCGGCGTGTTGCTTTGCAGAACTCACAGCCACGACTGCCGCACGGTGCCGCATGCAAAGCAAACCTGAAAGGCGCCAACCACGACTTATCTTAGCTTCTCTTCGCGTCATGCCTCTGCAGAAAAGAAACACACTCAGGCTGACGCTTTCCTGCGTCTGCTTCTCCTGCACTCGACGGAGGCACCTCCTCACTGTTTCCAGAAAACAAAAGATATGCTTCAACACAACATGATGCACTCCACCTACAATCGCAACAATGTTTGCAAATCCAACAGACTTGCATTGGTTGCATAAAGGAATGAGATGCTGACAGCAGCATTGAAGCACCATGCAATTTTGCCTCAAATGAGAATCAAGCTGGTGATCTTTCCTGTGTCTCTGCCATTTAAGTGGCACCCACACTCTTCTGTAAATGGGCTGGCTCGATGTCACTTGCAAGTGAGGGACGCTGCATGCTGCTTCAAGTAATTGGTGGTGGCAAGCACTGCCAGATACTGTTCCGGGAATGGTCATGCCATTTGCCCGTTGCTCTATGGAATCAGCAGACCACAGCAAGGAGAACAACATTCACACAGCTCTGAGCCCCAGACTTGCCGTCTCGCATCTGCGACTTTGCTGAGACTCAACCCTGCAAAGCGGGTCACCTGATCTGCGAAACAGTGACATGAGACAAGCGCATCACACGTAACAGCTGAGTCACATTTCCCCAGCCATGTCCACTGCTCAACAGCACTGGCCTCTGCTCAGCATGACAACATAGATATTTCCATATATCAAGATGTGCACTCTACCCAAATCTCAGTCCGCAACTGCGGACCCAGTTCCAATGCAGATATGTTCATCGCCATGTCACTTGCAATAATGCTCTGTAAATGCGATGTATCAATCCGCTGGTTGTAAACCGGTTTGGTCAATGACAAGTGCTGGTTGCATACTTTCAAAGTCTCGACCTTTCATTGCCCCTTATGATGTGGAACAAGATAGTGACACCTATTAAACTATTTAAGTCAAATCGTGTCTGAATTGTTTAAATTTGGCGTATGCAAAGCCTTCGGCCTGGCAAGCGGCGCTTTTGACATCAATCCAAATTGCAGGGCATGCATCAGCTTCGTTTGCCGCAGACGCACAAAACACGACGCGTATAAAAAAACTCACACTGAAAATCGATGCAAGACATGGCCAAAGATGAAAATTTGTTTTGCCAATCAAACTGGGATGCGATGAGTTTTGTGGGAACACGTGCCCCGCAAGACAACAATTTCCACTTGAACCCATGTAGAGGAAGAAACACAACTTGCGCAAAGGCAACCACAACTCGCGGAAAGGTGCTCACAATCTCGCACTGGGCGATGTCTGGGGGTAAGGGCTAATAGGGCTGCAGAACCCTCAGACATATGAACGCCGAGCTGCCAAAAATCTGGATTACTTTCCCGGCCGAATCTACGAGTAAACCATCGGGGCTGCAAACAACCCACCGACCAAGCACAACCAACCACAAGGAATTTGGAACAATCAAATCCCAAACATTCTTCTTGGATTTTCTGGGGGCCACTCAACACTACACATCACATGAAAATTCAACCATGTTGTGCATGTGCAACTCAATCAAAAAAATCCTATACAAAAACCATCTGATGGACTCAACTGAAGTGTGGATTCACGCCCCGCTTCAAGCACATAAATGTGACACCCCCGGATATATGACATTCGAATGTTCCTGCCAAACGAATCGCAAAAAATCTGTGCAACAATGTAAGGCCCGTAGTCAGACTGGCGCTCGACGGATGGACCGGGGATACAGACCTGCGGGTTGGACTGATGCATATCTGACGCTTGAAAATCTTGCTGCGCTTGAGCTAGATTGAAAGCGCGACCAATCCAAGAGAATGCCATCAAATGTTGAGCTCGCATCATATGGGAGGCGCCAGGAAGTGGGCCATAAGATCTGGCACAGGAATTATGGTCAGCTAAGGAGAAACGGGAAAGGAATTCTACGGCACCTGATGAAATTCATGGGGCTGAAAGCCCAATGCCTGCGGAGGAGTGTTCGCACTGACAGTGAGGCATTTTGCAAACAAAATGGGTCACCGTGGGAGGGCCGTTTTTTCCACATTTTCCTGCACATTGGTAGCATGTTCTGATGATTTTAGGGAACGTTGCACTCGCACGATCTTCTAGTATCCTAGCAGCCTATGAGTACCGCATTGGAAAACCATATGAAATTCGGATGAGCTTGCGCAAAGCGGCACAGCACCAGGAACCACTTTTTGCAGAAGACCGTCGACAACTTGTATGGAACTTAAGCGAATGCTGCAGGCTACAAGTATATATGTTCACACCTCTGGGGTGGGCTGCGATGCAGGCGTGCTGTTAAAGGCAAAAAACTTTAAAGAAAATACATCGGGGACCCGCAAAGATGCAATGTGGAGACTTCCAAATTTGTTTGTTCGCCACATTCACGGTGGGGATCTAATTGTTTCGATGTACCCCCCACCCTCCGCATGCTCTTCCGTCGCGCAAACATTTGGGACGCGCTCATGTTGGGTCACAAATCGCGCTCTCACTCGAGACTTCCTCAAAAACTCGGCGTTTTTCATCGATTTTCGATCAAAAAATACAAGGCCTCGCCTTTAAAGTGTTCTTCGTAAGGGGGCTCGTTACCGAACGGGCCGCGCTCTTGTTCGCTTACAAATCGCGCTCTCGCAAAGGACATCCTCAAAAAATTCTGAATTTTTATCGATTTTCGATCAGAAAATACAAGGCCTCGCCTTTAAAGTGCTCTTCGTAGGAAGGGTCGTTACCGAACCGGCTGCGCTTCCGATTTTTGAAATTCGCGCGTCCTCAAAATTTCGCATTTTTCGGACTTTAGAAACATTCAAAAATCGCGCTCCCGTGCGAGACAGTTCAATTTTTTGACGTTTTGATGACGTTTGTATCTTCAAAGTTCGCGGTTTTGTGTGGTTGGATGCTGTTAGACCTTTCCCTGGGGCTTTTGGGGGTTTTGATCTCAGTTTAACATTTCTAGTTCACGTATGATATTTCCTACGCTTGGCTCCAAGGCAAAACGTTCAGCGACGGACAGAAACCTTTTTGGCACAGAGTGCGAGAAATGCAAAGCTGCTTCGGAGGGAAGTTCATACCCCCCTCCTTGTGGTGAAAACTGTGCATGTGTGAAACATAGGATGGCAATGCAGTGCGTGGAGTGCTGCAATGTCAGCCCAAGGGGGCTGTTCATATAAATGCTGTGCAATGCACGTATGCGTAGCAGTGCGTGCTGGATACCCAGGGAGGGTGGGTGGGTGAAAAAATTTCTAAGCATGCGGCTGAGCCAAGCTACGGAAATAGAGCATGTTTGCCAAGGTAGGTAAATACAACCAAAATTGCCACGCCCAAGAAATTCCTCCTGAACAAGGTCAGCCCAATCCTGCTCAGCGCTTGATTGCGAAGAAGCTGTCATAGACTCACAAGCACAATGGCTGCAATGGACCAAACAAGTGGCTCTTGCACAGCTAAGGCCAACTAGGGAAACTGAAAATTCAACATCTGCCAAGGCAGCTGTGGAAAGCATGTACACCTAGGACCTAGGACCTGCAGGACTCCATTGACCATTGCCTAAGCAGCCCAAAGGCCTAGTTACTTGCAGAATTACACTGAAATCTAAGGTTGTAGGACCGTAGGATTTGTGGTGGCTTTGCAGTGCATGGATCCCATCTACTCGGTCGATTCCACTAAGTGCACTTGTCTACTCTCAAATGGGAAAAAGGCGTGTGTCTGACTGCATCGTTGAAACTGTGGATCCTTGTGAGGTCTTCAAGGTGATTCAAAGCGCGGAGGCCCTGAGCAAACACACGCCTCATCAAGTCTGATCAATCGCAATAGCAACACTATGAGCTATGTCCAGATGATTTCCATGTAATGATATTGGGGTCATGGTCTAAGGCTACGGCTTTATGCTGCAGTGAAACCTTTGAGCCTTGGGCAGGAAATTTGCCAAGCCTGAAATCGGAGCTCAACTTGCAGGGCCAATTTGGTAGCGGTAGCGTAGCATGAGACTCGAATGTAGTGTGAGCTGACCAGCAGCAACATCCCTTTGACATGCATCCACTGACCTTCGGAATCTTAAGAACCTGCCAGTAACAAAGTCAGAGGGCTTGGCTCAGCTGTTTGATGGTGAGCAAGTAACAAAACACTGTTGAACACTCAGGTAACCTGTCTACCCTGGGAGTCTAGATGGAGGCAACTCTGCCACTAAGCACTAACCAAACTTTGTGCAAGAGAAGAGTCAGCTTCAAATGAGCATGTCACGGGTTTACACTGAGTGGGTTGACTGCGGCTGGGCTAGGTCGTCTAGGTTCTTGGTCACCAAGTTAGAGGCTAGATATGGTTTGGGCGCGGCAATGCATCAGGACATTTATTTTGCAGGTTCTTGCTTGAAACGCTTCATCAACCCCCTTGCTCCTACACTGCGTGCACCACACCTTAGGCACAAATCATCCTGTCCTGTTGAGGTCACGCAAATTACTATGGTGTTACAACACTAACCATCACAAAGCCAGATGCTCATCAGTGAATTAACTTAACTGTTCCCCCATGGCCCATTATTTCATTAAATATTGTGATACATTACTAATTCTACATTTTGATTTCTCAACAGTGGTTATGACTATGATGGACTATGATTGTGACAATGCCCAATGAAATGATTACGTTCTGTCATGAAAATTTCAAGTTGCGCTGGTGAGCTCATATCATCAACAATATCCAATAATCAGCAAAAGGATTCGTCGCCCAGACAAAGTATGCAAAACACTTTTTTCAATGCTGGATTCTGCATAACCCATGCAGGCAACTGCTGTCCCTTGTTCAGGGGCGAAATTTTTGATGCCACCCTGGCCCATCACCTGTACACCCTAAGCTATGTATGCTACGCGACGCCACATTCACAGGCTGGGCGCGCTACGGCTCGGCTGAGCTGAGACCTACGCAAAGCTGAAGGCTACAGAGCCCACAGCACGCATGACCCGGCTGGGCCCCTACACCTACGCAAAGCTGCGGACTACAGAGCCCTCAGCTACACGACCCTGCAGGGCCACTACGCACACGCAATCCTCGGGATCGCACAACACGTCCCTGTGGACCAACACGCGGAGCACAAAAGGAATTACCTGGAAAGAAGCGCGTTCTATTCCGAAGGTCTCAAGAGTCGGCACTCAAGTTTGCATCATTAACGATGATGAGGAATGACCATCTCACCACGCACGCACAACCCAGCAAGGGTAGGGATTTGCCGAAAAAGAACCAAGCGTGGGTAGGGTGGGCAAATTTTTCCTTTGCTACACA